GAAAGTTCAGGAATTATGGCTTAGGGCTGAGGGTGACAGGGTGTATGTATCTTATTATTACTACTACTTTTGCTACTGCTACTGCTACTGCTACTGCTACTGCTGCTGCTGCTGCTGCTACTACTCCTACTCCTGCTCCTACTCCTACTCCTCCTATACCTACGCCTACGCAACGCCTACGCAACGCCTACTCCTGCTACTCTCCTACTACTCCCAGTCCCACTTTCCTCCTACTACTGCTGCTGCTACTGCTACCACTATGTACTATCAAGAAGGCTGCTACCGTCACTGAGTCACTGATGCTTCTTCTGTTGCTCTTGCGTGTGGCGTCCTGCATACCACTTGCTCTCGTGATATTGGGCTCTCTGGTTGCGGGGCCCAGGAACTGCTGTTGTTCACCCGTTGAGGCCTTGCGACGAGCGATGTGTTACTGTTCACCGCAAGCTCGTCCTGGAGTGCTTCGCGAAGCTTGAAATCCCTCAGCCCCGTCCACGAAGCTTTACCTTCTCGGACTTCCTTCTACCACCAAATCCTGGAACTTTCAACATTTCGCATTGCTTCAGGGAGGCTTACCGTGAGGCCAGCGGCCTGCCTCCAGAGGCTTGATGCGAGGAAGGGAATGAGGGTCGTCGTGGATCCTGACAAATCCTGAGCATTTACGTCCTCGGGGTGCTAACCGGCATACACCTTTCTGGGTTTTCAGACCATTGGTTTCGGCACTATGCGGCGGCCTTGTCAGTGAGTGTCAACTTCACTTACGGACCTCCACGTCAACGTCTCAACACAGCCTGTTTTGCGGCTGTTTATCGTTGCGTTTGGCAGTGGTTGGTGGCTTCAAACTTTGATGACTGTGATGGGTTCGATGCACGGGTATCGATTCAAATTTGTTGTTTTGGGTCTTCTCGTGTTGCCTTACCCGACTGAAAGTGCCAAGTCAGGTAGGTTTCGAAAGTCATCTTGCAACTGCAAGTTGTAGCTTATCCGACGGGACGTTCATCGGTTCTTCTCATCGGTCCAGTCACCATGGCAGCAGGATTCCGCAAGCGTTCGACTCGAGACATTGCTTGCGGTTTGGCTCGACCAAGTGTATAGGCACTCTTACCTGCAGCCGCACTTACCAAGCCGTGATTCTTCGTCACCACTGAGTTAGGACCTTTGCGGACTGGCAAGTTACACGTCAAACAGCCGCATGACAGACTAGACATCAGAGCTCATTATAGACAAGCATTTTGCATGGCATGCCCCACTGCATCCAAAGTCTTCTCAATGCCTTGGCCTCAGCTTGGCTTCTCCAGTGTCCGGTCTGGGGCTCCCAGATTTCATGGAGAATTGACCAGACTGAGCTCCAAGCAAAAGGAATTTCTAGGCCTACTACTGTGGTCGCTAAGGTTAGGTAACGGTTTGTGCTGTAGACGTTTGTAGGTTTGCAAGATCAGCATGCAGCATGCAAGCAGGCTGTGCGAGGGTAAGGCAGTCGGGCGCGGATATCTTGAATTGCACCAGACACCATGTCTGGCTCAGATGCTTAGCTATAGATATCGAGTCTCTGCGCCCATGTGTGTCTAATCCGTAGAAGACTAACTATACCAACGACATGCTTGTGTTTTGAAGCGACATCCCTTGGATAGCGGTTCTCTGCGCTATCCAAACTAAACTAATGACTCCTTTCAAGGATGCTTGTGTTTTTGTGACGTGTGTTGTGCACACGCACTTAGCCAAGAAGCAACAAGCGGCACATGCAGTTGTGTGTGAGTGGATCGGTGGTTGGTTCCTCAAGCGAAAGAGTATCAAGGAGCATGTTGCCTGGCCAGTTTTCAAGAGACCATGTGCTGAAGTAGTCGCCAAGTTTGTCCAGGCCAGAGAGATAGATGACGGCTTGGGAGCATGCTATCAGAGACCTGGTGTCCACCAAGGTGGGAGCATTCATGTAAGCACATGTTCTTCAGGCTTTGAGTGATTAACCGCGCATCCTGAGCGTTGGGTTTTGCAGGCCCGCGCATAAGATGTAACGGTAACGCAGCTTCTGCAGTGCCTCCACGTCCATTATGTTTCCCGACATAAAGCTGTGCTCTATCCTCCTTTTGTGGAATGCCATTACACCATGCCCGCGTCGCAGATCGTGCTAGTTGGCAGGACGACTAAACATACCGCTCCGTTTTTCCATGGATATGTGCCTTAAGTTGAAGCAGCACGAGGCAATGCCAGCAGATTTCTGCTCGCTGCACTGCACCGCTCCCGAAGTGCCTGCGGCAGCATGACTTCTCAAGATATGAGACCTCTGCTTTTCTGCTGCATAGCCTAGCTGCTTTCGAAGTCTTTCAGACAAGAGACCGGCGCTTTCGCACGCAGAGCGAAGGGACTGATTACACACTGCCTGTCGTTTGAGGTGTCTGCCCAGAGAAGTGATGTACTTGTAGCAGCTATGCTGGAGCATGTAATAAAAGAGCCACCTTTTCCCGAAGCCTATAAGTCCCAAGATGGTCATACGATTCGGCTGCACTCTCGAACATGATCCGTGTCATAGTCTCCGCCCCGTGCGCTTGGGGCAGGGGCTGTGATGCAGGTAGACCCGCGGAAACAGCAGAGAGTCACCTGTCAATTTGCTGTAAGCCAAAGTTGAGGTTGATTTGTCTAGCCAGTGAGATAGCTGAGGGGGTGCCGGTGCTGCTGTGGAGGCAAGACTGATTTCTAAAATTATTCGATCGTTCTAACATAGGCTTCATGTATAGCCGCACAGTGTGCGCACATGTTGCTGTGCTGCATTGTTGTCGGAGGTGTGCGACAGAACTTAGTTTCCGTGATTTCGGCAAATTTGATCTGCGCTGTTTGGTTGCGGAAAAGTGAGGTCAGCTTTCAGCTTGGACGGCACTCGTGCTTCCTTACGACCTGTGACTCTAAACTGCCAGGTGTCTCAGACTTCCGGCGGCCTCTCTATTCGGGGTTTGGCTGCCGCAGCCGGAAAAAGTGAGATCGATAATGTAAGAATGGAAAGAATTATGAAAACTCTGCTGGGGTTCCCTATTATATATTTATTATTATCTTTATGCTGACAGTTAAACTGTGCCCCTTACGTGAATTCTAATTCTGAAAGCCCCTACAACAAAGCCTTAAGTAACCTTGATGGACCCCTTTAAAGCAACCCCTAAAGGAAGCCTCTTCTAATTCTTAAGGCCCCTGAAGTAGGCCCTACACCCGAAACCCTATGAACCCTGTTCTAAGTCTTAAGGACCCTAAAGATCCCTAAAGTAGGCCCTAAACCCCAAACCCTCTTAACCTTATTCTAAGTCCTAAGGACCCTAAAGTAGGCCTTAAACCCTAAACGCTGAACCTCCTAAACGGAGCCTTGCCTGCGTGTGCGAGTGTGAGAGTCGAGACCTCCTAAACCCCAAACCCTATTCTAATACTTCAGGCCTACCCTGAATCCTACATCCTAAACCCTAGACCCTATACTAACCCTATTCTGACAAGTCCGAGTGAAATCTGCAGGATGTGGACCTGGCCCGGCAGCAGGCTGCTTCGGACCCGAAATCTGCAGACCAAAGGCTGTCGATGATTTCACAGGCCCGGTTAGGGGGGTTCAGGGTTTAGGGTCTAGGGCGGGTTTATAGTGTAGGGTTTAGGGTTCAGGGTTTAGGGTTCAGGGTTTAGGGTTTAGAGGTTTAGGGCTTAGGGCTAATAAGGGTTCAGGTTTAGGGTTTAAAGTGTAGGGTTTAGGGTTTACCTGGTTGACACTGGGAGCCCAGCTGCAAAAATATAGGGGGCGGCACACGGTTCAAATTGCAAATGCGTTCTAGGGCTCCACCATTGCCTCGGGCTGACATCTTTTCTGCACTCCTTCCGCCTTCCGCATCTAGATATCTTCAGCCGGCGCTGCCTCGTCGAAAGCCTTGCCAAGCTGAACTCAGTGGCTTTGGGTGCCTGAAGCCGTGAGGACCCCGTCCAAAAAAGGCAAGCCATCCTAAACCCGAGCCCTCAGGCCTCGCCTGGAGTGTTTCAGTTGTGAACCGCAGCCCAAAACTGCAAGAGTCCCGTGCAAAGGAGCCGTCGAACTTCACGCAATCCTCCAGAATTCCGGATGCAGTCAGCAGCAGCTGTTAGAGGGGACCTCAGAGAAACGAGGTGTGGGGCTCTTGTGAAAGAAGTTTGTGTCAGTTGCCAGGAATCTCGAAGCGAGTTTTACTTCGCAGGGGATAAACCCACCTCAGGATACCCCATCAACTTAGGACCTCAGAGAAGGGTGGTGTTTGAGAAGTAGCACGTGGGACATCTCTTCTGTCTCAGATATATAAGCGCATTATTCACAGCTGCATCTGTGAAGCAACGTTCAAGCCTTGGCCATGTCATCGTCATCAGAGCAACATGATCCGTAGTACTCTGGTGCGATGTGCTTCCTCACGATCAGCGAATCGAGGGTTCACGAAGACTAAAGCAAACTACTAAGGTGGGAAATGTCCATGATAAAGGCGTATTCGTTGTCCACAACTTGGGTTTAGGGTGCCTCGACCTGCTCGGAGGATCGACGTGTTCAGCGTTGCTTCGGTAGCCCCGCGGTGTTTCTAAAAGTCCCCGCCCCCGAAGTCGAAGCAGGCGCGGATGATTTCAAGCAATTTCCCGGAAAGTGTATTTTATCGTGACGGGGGTATTTAATATTATAGCAGATAGGGGAAGTGATTAACTGCCGCCATGGGGTGCATGTTGATGTCCCACTCCATCGCAAGGAAGTGGTCCCTCTCGACCAAGGAGTAAATCTCAAGATGCTCCCTGGCCTTGCGCACTTATGAAACAGACGATTGGTTCCGTAAGTTTGCATGCACATGCTCTCCCCAAACCTCGTGCTTTCGTTAACTTCCCCGCTTTCTTTCTTTGTCTTGGTGTTCGGGTGTGTTCGGGTACATCTGCATCCCTTGAACCCCAAAACCCTCAACCCTAAACCCCTGGACCCTCCGACTTCTTTGTGTCAGCGTCGCTCCGTGCCTGCCTGCAGTACCCTAGGGCTCCGGTTGCCTAACTAGTAGCTGGGTGCTTCTCTAAATTAGGGTCCCTGCTACGGTCCGTTTTGTAAGGGTACCGTAGTATGTTTGAGATCTAAACAGGGGCCCTAATCTAGAGAACTACCCAGGTCACTTACCGTATACCATACCCAATAGCCCATGATTTAGGTAACTGGAGCCCTGGTGTAGCCAGGCTCAGCCTGGCTCTTGGCTGACCAAAGGGTCGCCAAAAGGTGCTTCTGCTGCATTAGCCTAATGGGTTCTGCCTTGTTCCGATGCTCAGCATAGGGAATCGACCTGAATGAACATATATATATATATGCATATATATATATATATCCGCCTAATCCATCTATGTATTGATTTACTAGATTTAACTGCCAGAGCTAGTTCGAGGAATTTGTGGTGGCGGTGGTGGTGGTGGTGGTGGTGGTGAGTAAAGGTGACGTTCCTGGTTCCTGTTGGTGGTGGACCGGTCCGATGTTCATCGTTTCTGTAGACTCAAGCCCTGGTTTCGCAGATTTTAGCTTTCCCTTTTCAGGCATTCTGGACGCAGTATCCAAGCGATTCGGCGGCATGGGTGCGTACGGCTCGGCCATGCATCGCCGAAAGCATTTGCCACATCATCGTAACTTTGATTGCAAGATTGGGTCTGGGGCAGCGCACCCTTTGAGTTGCCCACCTTCGGCGCTCACATCCCAGGAGGCGAAGCAGGGAGTTTCTGAAAATCATGGACCCGATGGACCCCATGATGTAAAAGTGTAGGATTCTGTCAAGCCTTCCGAATAGGTGGATCTGCAGCAGCTGCAGAATTCAGCTGGTTGCGGGAGTTATAGCTGCAACACATGCACACATTTGCAGTCTATGTAAACTTTCTAGAACAATGCTTAGTTCTACCAACTTCCTACCCCTGCACACAGGCCACGTCTGGGAGCCCCTCTAAGGCTCTTATAAGCCCTGAGATTGCAGTCGCTGGAGCCCTTGGAAACATGACTTCCCTTGCAGGGCTTCACGTGAAGCCTCTGTGCCTTTGTGCAGCGGTTTTTCTTGACTCTTCATGGCTCGCACAGCCCAAGTGCACGCTATGTTCCCTGGACCCTGAACCTGCAACAGTAGTGCTGAACAATTCAGACAGCAACAGCTTACAGCCCGCAGTCCCCTTTGGGTTGTGGGAAGCCCTGGTTCAGTTTAGAGATTCGGTTTGGGGATCATGGAGCAGAAGGTATTGGCCTGGTTCAGGCGTCGGCGCCGGGCATCTTGGTACAATGATAGCTCGACAAGCAAATGGGTGGATATACAACTAAAGCTTGCGTCGGGGATGGGGTTGAGGGCAGTTGCGGTTAGGGTTCAGACTTGGAGATGGGCAGAATGGAAAATGTCCTGAAGTCAAGTGTGATGTGGCGTTGTCCAGCTCGATGCTTTCACGGACAGATCTCAAGTTGAAGGACATTGGCTTCCATGCTATGGGAGGATGGCATCAAGTAGGCAAAGGAAGCCTCAACAAGAGCGCTACTGTACAAGGCAGAACCCCTGGCGTCCTGGTCTGGGCTTATACGCGCTCAACCCAACCCTGCAGCGAACACTGGAGCAACCGAGCGTGCAAAGCGCCATCCCTCGAAGACTTGCGCAGAAACATAGACAGGTGCCTATGGAAACGGATACGGCGGTGGGTATGCTGGCTACGACGACGGCTACGGCGGTGCTTATGGGCAAAGTGGCTATGGCAACTACCAAGGCCAGCACCAAGCAGTCTGCCGAATCTTGTTTTTTTTTGTGTGTGTGTGTGTGTGCGTTTGCTTGGGCGCAGCAGGTTTGATTGGCAGGTTCTGCTAAGCCACGATGCTTGTTGTATTTCCCTTGCATCTAGTCTTGCCAGAAATCTTACTTGACCGTGCACAGCGACTGACTTGGAGAGAACCCGACGACCAACGCAGCCAGGGGAAGCGAAATGCATGCAGCGCCATTCTCGGATCTCATTTCCCAACCTCCCCAAAGCTGTTCTTGTCATTTCCGGATCTCGGAGAGCCCATAGACCACAAGGTTCATTCGAAAGACCCTGAGCCGTAAACCCGAAGGTCAGAACAGGCTGCATCACTGATATTGATTTTCGTGTGCACCATCCAGGCTTGACATCATTCGATTCGATGGCATCTTGCCAATAGGAGCTGAGGGTTACAAGTTTGAGCCTCGGACTTTGAAATTCGCGCATGATTCTGGAGAGTGGGTCCTCCTCCAAAACTTCCATGAAGCCCGAACTTGTTCACTCGAACCTTCGAAGGTGGGTACTCCTATGGCTCGGGCGGCTATGGTGGCCAATATGGATCCCCCGGTGCTTACGAGCAAGGCGGATCCTCCAAAACCCACGAAATCCCTAGTTGGTCTACTCGAACCTTCGCAGGTGGGTACTCCTATGGCTCTGGTGGCTATGGTGACTATGGTGGCCAGTATGCATACCCGGATACTTACGGGCAAGGCGGATATGGCCCCTACCAAGGCTGGGCGGCTGGCTAAAGCAAAGTCACTGCTGAGTCCTATGTTCGTGGACGTAGCGACTCGCAACTCTCGTCCATTCAAGTTATCAAAGTCTACTACACTCTGAACTTATTTGTAACAGACTATGCCTCACATCAGGAAGATTCTTCCTGCCATCCTAAGCCCGGTCACACAGCGAGTTGTCAAGCGAGGGATGGTGCCAAGAAGAGAACGGAGAGCTTCAGCTGTGTTTCTTGTGGCTTGGGGGTTCAGGATTGTCGGGGTAATGCTCCTTTTGCAAGTCTTCGCAACCCTCAACCCATGCTGGTGTGTACCAGAGCAGCGGTGTCGACAAGAAAGCACCGGAAGTTGGCTACCAATGCAGGTAGCTATGGCGACTACAACTATGGCGGCCCTGGTCCTGCCCTGGAGCCCAAGCCATTTGATCGCATGTATGAATGAGTGCACAAGCGCGGGTCTGCATGGTACGGAGTCTGATGTATGCACACACCCTCTGGCTATTTCTTTGTTGGCAATATTTTATGTGTATGTCCCGGTAATCTCCGCATACATTTTTGATACATGCAATGCAGGTGTGTGCTGCTTGCGGGGGCAATTCAAGTTTTGTAGCCTGGGCCGAGCTAAAATCATGTCGCGGAACCACATCTGCAACATGTAGAAGGGGCCTTGCGTTTACAGTTGTATGTCATACTGCAGCAATTTCACAAACACAGGTGGATGCAGCATTCATGCGTGCTGACAGCATTTCCAGGTCTTGCCGAGCAGCATGCAGGTCGGAAGTACAAAGGTGAGGGGTTCTGAATTCCGAAGCATTACATCTAGAATCACTGGGCCGAGGGTGGCTGAGAACAATGCTGGTGTGGCGCCTGAGCAATGCACCTGCCCAAGCTGGGCCGCTTTGGCTGTCTAACCGGAGAAGGAGGCACCCGATAGGGTGACTATATGTAGTTATACCTGCTTGTGTTTAGCACAACGCTTAAACAGTCAACAGTCTTACCTCTGGCAAACTCAAGACCAGCATATTCGACTGGGAGCCGTGGTTGCATTCAACCCTGAGCTTATGCTTCGTCGTTTGTGTCTGGTACTGTTTGTGCCAGTTTCATTGCATATGCTCACGCTCCGGTCTTGAAGCCAAGCTTGGACGTTTCGGGGACCCGACGTGCCAATTGCTGCCACCACTCGCACGGTTTTGAAGCCTGAAAAAAATGGAAACGACCAGAACCCCGCAGGCCTCAAGAACTGTAGCCTATCGCTTATAAGCCACATTGAGAGTTCAACGCTCTAAACTCGAAAAGGGATCGCCAGAAGCTGTGTCCCGAGGATCCCATGAGCGATGCGAAGCCGGAGGACTTGCAGCATGCCTCCCTGGCCTTTCAGCTGACACGAGGATAGAGGGGGTTCAGTTTAAGGTGCTCAGGGTTTTCGAGGAGTTTGAGGCTTTACTGTGAAGGGTTTTGGGCCGCAGGATTCTGAAGATGCGGGTTTCGGACTTGAGGGTGTAAATTTAAAGAAAGCTTTGGTTTCTTTACGCTGCAGGATTTGTTGTTTGGGTTATGTCTTTCATTGCTCAGCCTCCAGGATGTCAGGGTGCGAGGTCAAGTGGCTTTGCTTCTGCATGACCGATTTTGTTTGATGAATGTATTTCGGACCTTTAGGACCTACAGGCAGGCAATAGGCTAGGGCCCACGGAGTGAGACTTGGAGCTTGTGCCGGAGATCGTGGCACAGTTACGAGGGACTGCATTAGGTTCAGAGTTTAGCGGCCTGGGTGCCTCGAAACCGACGACGACAGGCGAGAGGCTCGGACACACACATGGAGGTATGCCGTCACCACCGCCACCGCCACTGATTGTGATTCTGGATCATGGTTTTGATGATGATGATGATGACGATGAAGGCGATGACGATGATGAAGGCGATGATGATGATGATGATGATGGTGATGGTGATGGTGATGATGATGATGATGGTGATGATGATGGTGGTGGTGGTGATGAGGATGAGGATGATGATGTTGATGATGATGATATTGTGGTTTGTTGATAAGTTGCCTCACGATAACAACACAAAGTTAAACTTTTGCGATACATATGATTTTGATTGTGGTTTTGATCCTGATGATGATGATTGTGATGACGATAATCATCACCATTATCATCACCATCATCATCATCATCCACAGCAACACCAACATCAAAATCAATACCACCATCATCATCACGGGTTTCTTCATTCTCACTGCCATTATGATAAGCTGCGGCGTTGTCGTCTTTCTAGTGTCAGTGATTGTTACTTTCATTGTGATGCTCGTCCCCCTTTACCATCATCGCCAGCATTGTCATTCATCGCAGCAGAGGGTACATTTTTCAATCCTTAGCAGAGACCTTGTATACCCATGGTGTTCATGTAGACCACATAGATGTGCAGCAGACACTTGCAGATCTGCGCTTTTTTGCTGTGATGACAACTTCGTCGGTGTACGCACACAAAAGCGCATCATTGCATGCCTCCTACGCATGCCTCAGGATGTGGGAGNNNNCCCCCCCCCCCCCCCCCCCCTACACATACGATGCTCAATGCATAAACTTGTCGTGTCGTCCCTAGACTTGAAGCCCGAAACCAAAGCCATCCTAGACTTACACTCTAAAGGCCGCAAGCCTTGCAACCCTTCTACACCACAGGTCATGATCCAGCGTCGGAGTCGGCCGGAACATCGTCTCGCAAAGGGGCTGCTCAACCGGAAACTTGCTTAGGGCTTGAAAACGCAGAGTGGCGTTCAGTGGTTTAGCAGTGTCAGTTTGCGAGGTATTGGCCCAAGTGGTTGGGGTGGCCACAGAGCGAAGAGCAACAACGCCCAAATATGTCAGCAGCTTCAAGTGTTCGGCATGCTGCCCCTTAGCCATAAGCCCCTCAAGGTGCTCGCCCTAGACTGTGTAAGCCAACATCAGGCTGCGTCGGGCCGCTGCAGCTGTTGACGTCGCAGGACGGGACTTCGAGCGATGGATCCGCATCTCGGGCTGAGTTTGGCGTTTGGGGTTCGGATCCCGGGTTTCGTGCATAGCGCCTTCGAGAGTAGGGCAGAGTAGGGTAAGGAATACTTGTTTACAAAATTGATGGTGGTAAGTTTGCCATGCTGGGCATACTGCTTGAGGCACCTACACATACATTCCTTCATTATGTTCTCTTCACTAGCTTCTCATAGGCATCCTTGCCTTTTTTCTCTCATAGGCCTCCTTGCCTTTTCGGTTTTGAAGTGCCTAAACCCTAGCCCGTGGCTTGCGGAGGACCGGATGGAGCCGAAGCCCTGATCCCTCGCAGAAGGAGGGACTGCAAAGGCCCAAGGCTTAAACCCAATAAGCCTTATAGCCCCTAAGCCCTATAAACCTCGCCCTAAACGCCTGGATCGCCCGAACCCCCAACCTGTGGAGGTCTGCTTCCCCGCTATCCGACTGTACCTTAAGGAAAGCGCCAAGAGTTCGGCGAGCAGCTCCCACAGCTCAGGAGACCAGCAAACTGCAAGAAACGGGGGACAGGGCTCACAGGGTTGCGTCATGAACGACAACGATTTTGAAGACACGACCGTGACGCTGGAGATGCAACTAGGCACCAACGGAGTCGTAGTCAAGATTATGGGCCATGTAGATGAAGCCCGGTCTTCCCAATCGAGATAATCGAGAGGGTGCAGTGGTCGGCCTGGTACATCCTGCGACTAACTTTATGGTTGAAGAGCTTGCATTCCATGGCAGGGCTTCATGTAGGTATTTGACCACACCGACCACACCAGTCAGGCCCCTAGACCAAGCCATAACTCGAAGGCAAGTCCACCCAGGCTACAGTAGTCGAGTTTCGGCAAACCCCGGTTCCCTCTTGTCCTTAGCGGCAGAACAAGATCAGCGAGGCTTCGAGGCCTCGAACCTACAAATTTGAAAAGACATTTCCACAACTCCCTCACGAAGCCAGCAAGCAACATGGCATGGCTCAGTTTCGCGAGGAAGATCTTGGCGGAGTGCAAGGAGATGGACATCGAGCGTGACAAAGAAGAGGTTCAGGAAGATGTGGAGGAGCCAACCCAGAGATACAACATCTTTGTTGGGAGGGTTCTTCCAACTATAGCAGGCTTTTCAACAAACAAGGAGCTGTTGTGAGATTGTGGTGTCACGCAGGCTCTACCGACAGGTTACCCTTTTCTCAAGTCTACCTGAGGCTCTTGTTTTTTGAGACTCCCCACATGTTACCTGGTCGTCGTGGTGATGAAGCAGTGTCGGATTGAAGTTTGATGAGATGTGTAGAGCTGAGCTTACATAGACTAGTAATAGTATTCCCTGGTTGTCCTTATTGAGTTACAAAATCCATAATGTACCCACCAAAAAACACTCCTCTAACTATTGACTTGTTCGTGATACTCCCAGCAACGTCGGAAGCTTTGTAATCGTATATGATGGAAAGTTCAACAGGTCGCCAAAACCATAGTAATGCAGGACTCGGAAGAACGTTCGTCCCTATACCATCACACTATATAAGATACCCCCAAGAACCTATTGTAATCGCTAAGGCCCAAGTATCTGCTGATGCAAGGGCAGGTTCCTGATGAGTGATGGCTCGCCGGTGGTAGTGTGCGTTCGCTTTCGCTTGGTTTTGTGGGATACGGGGCATCCGGTAGTCCGTGCTGAGAAACGCCCATGCTGGCCGCAGACAGCAAAGGCCAGCGTCCAGAAACAAGCTTGCGTCGTCAACCGCGACCGCGCGGCGACAGCGCAATTACGGTTGGCGTCGTGTTTGTGCAAATTTGTGTTTTTGTTTGTTGTTGTTTTTGTTATTTCGCATTTGCTGTTGGGAAGTGTTTGGAGCCAGTAGTCAAAATTGCGTTTTTTCCAGGACTCCGAAGTCCAATGTACAGAAGACTACAGGTAGCAGGAGTGGCACTTTCGCAACACACTGTTCAAGCACCTCCGGGTGAAAACTTGTTCATGCTGTTTTCTTTATAGTTTATATATGTTATTACTATGGTTGATTTGGTTGTTGTAGTTGTAGTTGTAGTTGTTGTAGTAGTAGTAGTAGTTGTTGTTGTTGTTGTTGTTGTTGCTGCTGCTGCTGCTGTTGCTGTTGCTGTTGCTGTTGCTGTTGCTGTTGCTGTTGCTGTTGTTGTTGCAGGTGTTGCTGTTGTCGTTCTTGTTGTAATTGTTGTTCTTGTTATCGTTATTCTTCGTGTTCCTCTTCTTCTTCTTCTTGTTGTCGTTCTTGTTGTTGTTCTTGTTGTTGTTCTTGTTTTGCTTGTTGTTATTCTTGTTGTTGCTTGGTGTTGCTTTCAGCTTGAGGGCCTGACACAAGTCTGTTGTTGTCGTCACCAGCATCGGGGCTTCACTTGTTGTTACCAGTTTCAGGGCTTTACACAAGTCTTCGACACTATTGTTGTTCACTTTGCTTGCTTCTGTGCCAAAGCTCCCAACGCAACAGCAACATGCTCAGCATTGACTGGTGCACTGCTGCGAACTTCGTGGAACAACCACGCGAGAGAGACACGGTCTCAAGGGGAGCCCAGCAAGGGGGTGGCTACACGTAAGTAAGGGGGTCAGTGTGTGAGTTCGGGGCCATGGTGTTGCTCCCCCGAGTCTTTCAAACGTGTCACACAAACCGGATGTGGACACATGCGTAACGCAGGGGTTGTGGGAGCTTTCCCACTCGCCCCAAAGGCCGAGTAAGCGAGCGAGCAAGAGAGTGCCAGCGAGAGAGAGAGAGAGAGAGAGAGAGAAAAAAAATGAGAGAGCGAGAGAGAGGGAGGAGAAAGGGGGAGAGAGAGAGGGAGAGAGGTAGCGAGGTGTGTGTGTGTGTGCGTGTGCATGCGTGCGTGCGTGTATGCAAGCCGCCTGCCACCTATTTAATGGCCTCGGACAAACCCCAGGCCCCAAACGATTTTCGGTCAGCTTCGCCACCCAGGAGCTCCGGGATGTCGCAGACCAGGAAAAGGCGAGAGCCAATGCATCCTGACAGAAATGTGGCTTGTGGGGTTTAGGGTTGAAGGATTTAGGTTTTAGGGTTTAGTATTTTAGGGTGTAAATTAGAGTTGAAAGCTTCAGAGTTCAGGGCTTGGGGCAAAGATAAGTCCGTGCTGAAAAAGAGCAAAGTTAAGGGGGTCCGAATAGTTGGCAAGCTTCTTCTGCAGCGCCTCTGTCTATCGCTATACCATACCGTATTTCACCTCGAAGCAATATTCTTTGTATTACCCTCTCACCCCTCCCCAGAATTAAGGATGAAGAAACACAACAAGCCCCAACCTCCGAGATTCTCATTTGGATGCTTTTTTCCCATATGTAATTCTGCAGACCGGTGAGCTTGTCGGACAGGGGTCCCTCGCCAGAGTCCGCCAGAGACCCTGCAGAGGTGTAAAAAGCTAGAAGATGTTAGCTCACTTATTGTCCGTATAGAACGATGCTGTAATGTAACCCCAACCGCCCACCCACCTTATTCTAAGTATTCAAGCGTCTCTATGAGTTAGGAGGATTGGCAAGCCCCAATATCCCGAAGCCCGCAGTACGCTGAAACAACTTTGCGTCTAAGGCCACCCATCAACACGCTGAGCAAACGCAGGAGGGCACAGTGCCGCTCGGTGGCGGTTGTAGCGCCAACTTCTGGGATATATGGGTTCTTTCGGAAATAATGGTTCGTGTTGGTGGTCGTCCTATTATAAAGCACGTATCATCTGTAAGGGGGTGCTTTTGGTTGGCAACTCTCCCGCCATTCCTACACACAAATGTCGCTAATACTTCTCTCTAAAAAATACGGCTTCGTGGTAGGATGGCAACTGTAAGCACTGTCACCCAAGACGAGGAGTTTCTTTTCACGGTCGACGTTAGAGTTTGCCAGGCAGGCGTTTCAAAGGCTCACACTCGTTTTAAGAATCCGTGCCAGAACTATCTGACGCTTTTCCGCAAGTTACCGTTCTTTTCGAGAACTAAACTCTGATAGAAGCCTGGTTCTGTTCAAGTGCCTCACAGCAGGTCCGCCTGAAGATGAGTGTCAGTACTACTACCCCTTGCGGGTTCTTATTGCATCTATACACGCCAATGGCCCTATTCTAAGGCCACTTGACTAAGCAACGCAACAGGAACAGATCCTGAGGTTTCAGTGTGCAGGGCCAGTGTACGATTGGGGGGAGGCGTTCCGGGTTTTAGACCCTCTTCATCCCTCCTCTAGCGCCATTCGACCCCCTCCCCATATAAATCCTCGATGATGAAGCATTGAAGCTTGAAGCCAGGGTGCAAAACATGGGCCACATGCAGGGCAAGGCCCGCCCAGCGAGGGAGTGTAAGATGGAAAGTTCTTGAGAACAGCGGTTTGCAGCTTCACAGTTCGGAGCGTAAAAAACCAACTTCAACACCCGCGTTCGCGCCTGAGCGTCGAGAGTTTAACAGGTGGTGTCGGAAAGAGTCGCGTGTTTTTATGCTTGAGAACCCGGCTTGTCCCATGACCACTACGTGCCGTTACCAACTAATGCAGCTCTATCGTGTATGTCTGCTTACCGAACGTGATAGTGCTGACGGTCGGTGCTGCTTCGTTACCTGCCACCTTTCCTGATACTGAACTACGCCGAGCCGTACTGTTTTTTCTTACTGAATCCGTTTTTGAGACCCATGGCTCGCAGCTAGATGGCACTGCTTGTGTCCATGCGGAATTGATTCCCGAACCTAGCAACAAACTAAACTCAAGCTATTCAGGATGTGTCTTGTACAACTAACTCCGTCTTGCAGACCTGGATGGCTTTTAGCCCGCTGTGCTCGGAGTTGCCCTGCCATGCGGACGTTGTCCTTGCTAGGTAGGAGGGAAACAGTTGGCCAGGAACCGGAGCAAAATGCCCAAAAGGTAATAACATATTGCAGTTATGCTTGCCTACTTCTATACTTGATACCTCGGCTTCCTCCAACCATGGGCTCGGGTTCGACGTCCTGGGACCTGAGGATCTATTGGATTAGGTTTGGCTTCAGCGGTTCCTTGTCGAGCATCGAGCCCGGAGACCGTTGCCAAGTCGGCTGTCGGCTATCTGTGCTGATACCAGGGTCGTAGATTCAGGGCTGTGGGTGATGGGCGTTTACTGTTCAATGCAGAGTTAACATGGTCTTTGGCCCTGGCAAACTGTACCTGTTTAGAACTCTTGGGTGTTTAGGGTCTATGGGACAAGTTCCCATGCAAGAGCCAAATCCAGCACACTAGTGATTATGAATGTGCTGTTATTCATAAAACCTCAAGGACCTTTATACTCATTTGCCGGATAATCAGCATTTCAGCATCTCTGCTATTCCATATCAGGTGGATCACTGGGCCATCCAGCAGGCGGCTTTCCTGACCTGCGCTGGCCACCCCCGACTCCCCGAATGTTCAGGGTTCACGATGAACCCAGAAGAACACCGTTTTGCAACGGTTCACAGGCTTAGGCTGCGCAAGCTCTTTGGACTACATGCCTGAACAGTGGATCAATGCATGGGAGTGCATCGGTAAGGCTGCCACAGGGGCCTTGCAATCTGTATTGCACGCTTTAGACTATTGGATTCTAGGCCAGATTTATCTTCCGGTGCCCTCGCATTTAGTTCGTGCATGTGCTTTGTCATGCTGGTTGGGATCTACTTGGTGGTTGTGGCTGGGGACATGAGCACAGTCTGACTGCCTCTTCGGTTGTTTCTCATGGCCTTAAGCTAACCTCCTTCCATCTATCACATACTTCGCGAGTGCGGTAAAGCCTCTCATGATTGCGTGGGTAAACAGGCTGACAGGGACGGTGCCTCCAAACAGAGAAGGTCGTAGCACCTGCCTTTATTCAGATATTGGCATTCCCCTCAGCTGTTGTTAGGATTTGTTTCAGAGCTTCTTGCACACAGGAGCTCATGAAGCAGAATTCAATGGAAGCGAGCGCCGATGCTCAGGCTGTCGACCTCTGCCGTCAGTCGTCGTCTCGGTAGTCGCAGCAGTAGTGCAATTGGTGTGCTCGTGATCGTTTTCCTCGTTCTAGTCGTAGTTGCATAGTCGTGGTAGTACTTGTGCAACTAGATTCGGAGCCGTTGAGGCGTTTTCGCAAGCATACATTGCAAGTACATGAGTGACAGCAAGACCGGGAAGATGTAGTGCGTGAGTGATTCTGATTGATGATAACGAGCACCACTGAGAGAGAGCCCCAACCAGAGTCTTTCTGAACAGTTGATAGTGGGAATTCCATGACAGGATTACGTCTAGCCAGAGTCAACAGGCATCAAACCCTGGGTTGGACAAGCCTACACCCAAGCTAGACACTCGAATGTGCATAGACACAGAAGCTGGTTCGTCTGGCCTATTTTCTTGCCAGGAGCCGACAACCAACAGTAGAAATGCACATTCCGGCTTCGATGACCAACGAAATCCTAATTGCAAACCGTCCCTTACTAAAACCGTGGCGCCCTGGCATTGCGCAGGCTGCACAAGCTGTCAACGCGTACAACCAGCAGGGCGGCGGTCTTCAGGAGAAGCAGATGGCACAGGCCGTCCTACTTGAAGGTTTGGAGGTGCGTGCAAATCATGACCATGTCAAGTTGTGTGTGTGTGTGTGTATATATATATACATATATGTGTGTGTACGCACATATACTTGATTTAAATTAAACACATATAGCTATACTTTTAAGCGCAATGTATCTGTAAGAATAGGCATATAAATAGACGGCTAGACCAATAGATAGATAGATAGGTTGATAGACAGATAAGCAGATTTAGATATGGAAAGACTAGACAAGATTATTAGGAAAGAGGAGGTTATGTAGATAAACTTATTTTTCGTTAGATTGGGGTAGATAGACATGTAGCTAGATAGATACAAGGATAGGTAGATACAAGCATACGAAGACAGATCGATCGCTGTATATGTAGATAGATAGAGCGAGACGGGCACGATAGACGAAGAGATAGAAGGCTAGATAGAGACATAAGCAGACAGGCAGAGGGCTAGATGGATAGATAGATAGATCGACTGACAGATAGATAGATGGATAGATAGATAGATCGACATACAGATAGACATAGATAGATAGACAGAGCGATAGATATGTGCATGCATGCATGATTATGAATGTATTCAAGTATGTACGCGAACTGTAAGCATTAAGCATTTATGTAATTTTGTATGTAAGTGTGTATGTATGTGTATGTATGCATGCATGTATGTATGCATGCATGTATGTATGACTGTATTTATGCACGTATGCGTGCAAGCATGTATGTATGCAATGTATGTTTTTTGTATGTACCTTTACATCCCACCCACCCCCCGACCGACCGACCGACCTGCCTGCCTACCTACACCAACTTGCTAACTTAAGTTAGGTACATGCAGTTGCATGTGCATTCGTGCGTATCCGCACGCACGCGCACATGCACACACACACACTGTGTTCTCATAATACTTGTACATGTCTGTCAGTCTAAATACAAATACAAGGTATGAGTGAAGTGTATATATATATACAAGTATGTATGTGTGTATATATATATAGATGTAGGTCTATGTATACATACGAATATGTGTATTCATATGTATACATGTCTGTACACACACATGCACGCATGCTTGTGTGTGTTTGTGTGTGTGTATGTCCGCGTGTGTGTTTTACGTACGCATACATGCATGCACGTTTCTCGTCGTTGTTCTGGATCTTGGGCAATTCCTGAGTTCGATAGAATCCGGTAGAACCTGTCCGGGAGAATCCATACAATAGCATCCTTTGGCCGGTGTTGCGGTGGCTATGATATTGTCTAAAGGCTGTAGACGTTCGGCTCTTGATCTTGTCTTTCTGGTCCTCATCACCTTGAGCAGCTTGCAATCTAGGTGCTAGGTGCGGTAAAAGGTCGAATTGTACGTCCTACTTGAGGTTCTCATTCTCCGCTGGTACAGCCTTACGGGTTGGTCCTGAAACATTCCTTGCTTAGCGAAGCACAAAGAGCTAAGGGACCCAATCCCTGTTAGCCACATGTTGTGATGATCAAAGAAATTGTTGTTGGCTCATGAGAAGCAGTTTTGGCGCCAGAACCGATTTCTTGAGACCCACTTGGTTTAGACTTGGATTTGGAAGTCCCACATACCCAACTATTTATACACTCTTCGTTTAATTTGTGCAGTGCCGAAGCGATTGTAATAGTCCAGGTCAAGAAAGAGCTCGGGCCGCTCGGGACATTCATGCTCGAGATCAAGCCTGATGCCTCAGGACAGCAGCTGTTGTTTGTTGAAGCTGAAATGAAATCTGTGAAAAATCGAATCAGCACGAGAAGACACTAAACACACCACTCTCTCTCTCTCTCACACACACCTGCGTTGGCCTTGCGTTCACAGTTGTAGCCCCCCACACACGGTTTTTACAACTTGACGAACGCTGTCACCGAATTCAGCGTGCATGCTGCACACCTCACTCCGGCATTCGAGCTCAGATCATCTTCGAGTTTCCCGGGACACAGATTCAACTCGAAGCTTGAAGCCAATTTCTTGAAACTCGGCACATGCCGCCAGGGTAGCGGAGGCTATTAATTGTCAGTGTGATGACAATGAAGCGCTTCTGCAGGGAGGCAGGAATAGTGCCGACATATGGGAAGCAAGTACAGTTTAGCTTAGACGCCTAACATATGCCCTGATTTCAGGAGTCACCTCGCAACGCGGTCATGCCACCTCCCTGCAAGGCCATTTTGATCTTGACTTTGATGCTTGGGTGTTGTTTCAAAGTCGGAGTTTTAATAACAAGGACTGCAAAGGGAATGCCATCCTGATCAAGCCATACATGACGGCCTTCTTTGAAAGGGCTTGGAGCTAGATTATAATTTTTCTGACAGGGAACTTATGAAGGAATAGTCTTCGTATATAATCTCCGTGTATATGTGTCGAATGTGTGATTACCATGCTGGTCACGACAAGTGCCTCCAGAAAGCAAAGTTCACTGTTTCCCCTGAGATCAGTGGACACGCCAACACCAAGATCATTATGCTAGAAAACATCAACGGCCTCCGAAGATTGGACGGGAGCCTGGGTCCTACCTAGATTCATCCTGCGCTGTCCTCCTATACTGCGCCGCTAGTGGCATTTTAACCAGTGCATGATGATGACTAAGTGTGCGAGTGTTTGCTTGTGTGAGTCTTATCAGAATGCCTTAGCTGCAATGATTTCGCGGTTGTGAGGCAGTGTTTTGCTTATTGTAGCTGTGCATCGCTTAGTTTCGGTGCGATGGAGAATTGTGGTGCACAAGTCATGTTATGCACGACAGGAGGTCTTTCCAGGATCAGCGGTAGCAATTCCACCCCACCCCCACCCCCCCCAGTCCTGTAGTTGTTGTACTGACGGTTGATTAATGAGGTTTCAGTAGTGCCATCAGTTTTGTGCTAGAGTGGACGGCGCGAGTGCTACTGGAACCGCAGTCTCAGCATGAGGCTGTGGTTGTGTTCCTTGTATCTTGTCGCTCTCATCCCAAATAAATGCATGTCATGTTCGAGGTTCCTTCTCATTTACGATTGTATGCCCGTATGTCAAAACAAACATGCAAGCGCGCGCACACACACACACGCGCGCTCAGTCTCTCTCTCTCACTCACGGCCATCGGCGATCAAGCCGAGCAAGCAGCACAAAGGTTGCCGCATATGTCTCTAGGTCTAACCCGCGGCCCCACCGCAGGATACGAGACATGAGAGCGGCTCAACGCGACAACTCACCAGACTAGCAAGCTATACGGTCTGCAAGCACACACACACACACACACGCACATGCTCGTGCAAATCATACGTTGCATATAACACATAACATTATACATGCATACATACCTTCATACATACATACATACATACATACATACATACATACATACGCACGTAGTCATGTTGGCATAACCAGTTTCTGACCTTCTGCAGACACTGCATCTTACACTCGAGTTGCCCAAACTGTGATGCCAGACGTACGATGTAGGCACTTAGGGCCATTGCGTTCATAGTTTGCTTTTGAGGCCAGGCCTGTTGACATGCCTGCCATACCTTGCAAGATTTTGCAAGCTTGTTATATGGCCAGAAGGCTTTCACGGTTGAGTCAGTGTTTGGCTTCAGAACTGCAGTGTTGACAGGGTTCAGGGAAGACAGGATGTAGGAGACGATAGGGCCAAGAGGTCGGGAAAGTGTACACGTCAGGGCCTTGATCTAATTCCTACGCCAACACTCTGACCCCAAATCGCTCTAGTCTTGATCCGAAACTCTATTCGAAACCCTAAACACCAAATTCTCAGGCCAAAACCCTAATGACTCCAAACTCCAAGAAGCACTTTCTTACACCAAAAACCTTCCAACACGTATGCTAAAATTTCAATCACTAAGAGCTTTGCTCTACCGGCCCGAAGGTCATGGGGTTGCAGCTGCTGTCGGCCTCGGGCCTGACCCAGCGCCAAGCCACCATCACCATCACCACAGAGGCTGCTGTTTCTAGGTATGTAGGTGTTTTAGAAAATAGAGCTTAGTTCAGGGATTAGGGCTTTGGGGAGGGGTGAATAAGAGTGCTTGTTTCTGTTAGAGCACATATACACACACACATATATATATATACATACATATACACAAAAAATAGTGACAGTCATGTGTACGTACATATATACACATACACACGCACACTCTTTACATATGTGTACTTATGGAGGGAGAGTGGAAGAGAGAGAGAGAGATATATATATATATACATATGCAAAACAGATATATATATACACACACACATATATATATATACACATATATATATATAATGATTTATTTATTCGTTCATTCATATTTATTGATTTATGTATTTATTTATTTTTGTAGTACATATATATATATACACATAGTTATACAGGGATAACATAATATGTATGCACAGAGGTCCGCGTGGTGGTGCCCGCGGAGTAAGCTATGGAGAGCATTCGGCAGTGCAGGCGGGGACCATCACCCAACAGAGCACTGTGACGAACATGGCTGCGACGACGACTACGGAGGCATTCTGTGCGCAGTTGCTTTGTGTAGATTTCGGTTTGCTTTCCACGGCTCAGCACACACGTGTGTAGAGACTGTTTCCGCGCCCAGCGTATATGAGCAGTTTTTCGATTTTTATCAAAATGGCTCAAGACATCCCCCGGATGCTGCTTCTGCCTCTCAGAAGTCTGGAGAAGAGCTGTGCCGAGAAGCCCAGGAGTCAGGACTAGTTTAGGGTAGAACCACCTGGTTTGCAATGTCCGACTTCTGCTGCAGACTTTCCGGCCCAGAAACAAGAAAATACCCAGGTCCGCCTCAGACTCCTAGACCATAGCCATTGAGCCTAACCCCTTTTCTACAGCAAAACCATACCAGTTGATAAATGGCAGGTTCTCCCTTCAGCCCTTCTGCCCAAGCCAGAACCGGCCTGCCCTTCCTTATTCTTACCCTGCATATTGGATGTCTTGAAGCCTCGACCTGTCGAGAGCTAAAAGCGTGAGAACGGGGCGCAGGTTACTGGGACGAGGACCACGGCGGTTACTGGGACGAGAAGGGTCAATACTGGGAGGAAGGCCGGCGAAAGGATTCTAGGATGAATCAGGACGGTTTAGGGTTGAGAGAGTTTTTCGCACTCTTCGCCAACCGAAGTGCAACGTGCTGAAGCCTAAGCCGTTGAACCTGCATACCTCGTGATGCTTCGCGCCAGTGTGCAGGCATGAAGGGCTACTGGGATCCCCAAGGCCAGTACTACCAGAGCCCTGGCTGTATCGAAGACACGTCTTCGCGGATGCTACGGGCATGTTGTGGGCTGGCGCACATGTTCAGCTGTGGCCTGTCCTTGCAAGAAGCAAGCCGATATGCATAAGCTTGCCATGTATGTGTGTACACATCTATCTATATAGATAGATAGATTCATGCATCTAAAACACATGTGCACATTCATACATATATACACACATACATACATACATACATACATACATACATACATATATATATATACACATATGTATATGTATACATATATAGAGAGAGAGAGAGA